CGTGGATAGGTTACCACCTGGTCACAGGAAGCAGAGGGATTTAGGACTAAACATTGCCTTCCAGCACTGGGCGGTTTTTGTGTTTTTGGTAGCATATTGTTTTCATGATAACCAGAAAATGATAGTTTCCTGAGAACAAAATCAAGACCTAAAAATACTCCAGTGGCTTTTGAGTAGGTTATTTCAGCTCATATTGTGTGTATGATTAAGCTAGAGCAAACAATTCCCCAACACCAAAAACAAAAAAACACCACAATGAAGCAGTTGATGGTAAAAATAGATTAGCCTCAAGATGCTGGCAGAGAACTTGAGTGCTTATGGTTCCACGGTCACTGTGACCCACTGAGAGCCTGTAGCCTGCAACGCTGCCAGGCAAGCAGTGCCCCTCTCTGTCAGCACTTGGTAATTAGCCTAGCTCCTGCGTGGTCACGTTGGTTTTTACTTACACGTTGCCCTCACTGTGATCTTTACTGCCTTGCCGTTTCTCCAGCATTTCAGGTTTAATTGTGGGTTCAATTACACCAACTGGAACTAACTTCCCTCGGGTAGCTAATTACTTTTACCTTTTTTGGTTCTGTTTCTTGTACCAAATTATTTTGCATTGGATGGAGACTTTATTTTCTTTCATTGAATCCCAATTTAGTTGGTTTGGGAAAAGCATACTAATGTGAAGGTGTGTGATTAATGATCCTATTTTGCATAAATATATATATAATGTTAGGAACTGAGTTAGGGGTAGGAAAAAATGGCACTGTAAAATCCAGGCTTTCTCTGGAAAGAGGTGTTTTTAAGTTTAGTACTTGTGCTACAGAAGGAATTGGTCTAAAAAAAAAAAAGTCATTTTGAAGAGTGCATCCAAACAGTTAAGAAACTTAAAAAAAAATTGTTTGCCATTTATAAGATGTTAGTAACCCATAAGATATAAAATCAAAATTGCAAAATTTATTTTTTCAAGTCAGCATGGGTTTCTCCGTACTAAGAAACTCTACCAAACGTGGGCCGCCCGTGGTGGTTTCAGGGATGGTTTATGGGTTGCGATTTTAATTCATTGAAAACACGTCTGCTGGGTCCATCCTAAGACGTCCTAACACGTCCAGCGAACGTACTCTGGATGTAAGAGTCCGTCTAAGCAGTAGCTCCAACTTTCTTGAGAGTTGAACTGAAAGCGTTCCTGTGGTGCCTGCGATGCTGTCGCAGCCCTCCCATCCTGTGGCATTCATTCTGTGCCGTCTCGTGTCAGCCTAATGTCAGCTCTCTGTGTGCCACCAATGAACTCAAAGCAGGTGCCATTGTTTTTTTTAAATGAACACTTGATGTTGGTTGAGGCTTAAATAAAGAGTTTGATTTCTGAAACGTGT